AGCCTCTCCTGCAGCCCCTCAGCTCTGACTGCACTTGCTCTTTGGCAGACCCAGGCCAGGACCGGACAGAGCAGCAGGACCGACCCCGTGGCCGCTTCCGCAGAGCAGTTCAGGTACCTGCAGCCATCGCCACCTGGGCTGGGCCTGCTGTCCCTGCTCAGCCTGGCACTGCTGCTGGAGTGCTCTGTCCGACATTCCTCTCTTCCCTGCCCTTTGCTCTCCTGCAGAGGTTTCTGAAGTTCATGGGCATTCGGCGTAGAACACCCCGGACCACACCACCTGAGCTCATGGCAGAGCCTGACACCAGGCCAACTGAGATCAAGCCTGATGTCAGCACAGAGCCAATTGAGTACAAGGAAACCTCTGAAACCTCTGTGACCAAAGACTTGGAAAACCCCGACAGTGCACTGGCCATCGAAGCCAACATCGAACCAGTTCATTGCACTGCAGAGCCTGACACCACTGTGGCTGATGACACAAGCAGCTCTGACACCACAGTGACTGATGTCATGGCCAAGGATGACATCACACTGATGCCACTTGATGGCACAACAGACTCCGACGTGGCACCGATGGACGGCTCAGCAAAGCCTGACTCCACTGTGGCTGGAGACATAACCGGCACTGACACCGAGATCGTGGCCAAGGCTGACATCACACCAGTGCCGATTGATGGCACTTCAGGCTCAGCCACAGAACTGATGGATGGGACAGAAACCCCTGAGACTGCCTTGACCGCTGATACAGTCAATGATAAAACAGAACCAACTGATCTCATGGCGAATGATGATGTCACAACTGAGAGCATCGAAAAGGCTGACACCACGCCCACTCAGAGTGTCCCTGATGCTCCCCATCTGGAAATTTTTGAGGAGAAAGGTGTCTCCAGAATGAAGGAAGTAAGCAGCCTGTGGTCAGGGCTCAAGTGCCCCAGGGATCTTGTGGCCTCTCAAGCCGGGTCTGCTGGGTCCCCTAAGCCTTTGAGGCCACAGAGTATGGTGGGAAGGGAAGCACTTCCTGGGGGAAACTGGGCAACTTCCTTGCTCTGGGAACTCTGCCACCCTCCCTCATTTCCCCTCCAGGTGCCGGCCATTGTGAGATCCATCCACCAGCGCCTCACATCCCACATGTCTCCAGATGTCAGGATGCACACTGACATCCGCAGGCTGGCTGAGGCACACCCTCGTGAGATGGTGACAACTCTTCTGTGCTGTGCCCCAGCATGTGACAGGTACAGGGCTCAGCTGCCTTGGTGGCTCAGGGCTCAGCAACTTTAGAACCCATCACCCTGTAGAGCCTGTCCCACCTGGTCTGCCAGACAGATGGAGAGTTCCAGGACCTTCTGATCCCTCCATTTCCCAACCCTGGCCTGTCAGTCCCCCATCCTGCTGCCATGTGCCCTCCCTGTCCCTCGAGGCACAGTGGCTCTCTCACCTGGGCCCCCACAGCTGCCCTGCTGTGGCACTGGTTGAGACCCCCCTGACCCAGAGCTCTGTCTCCACAGAGCTGCTGCAGTGATGTGGAGCAGCATCGCCTCCTCAAGAACAGCAACGGAGAAGGTGCTGCCCACACTGCTTGGAGCAATGGATGACTGGCCAGTGCACGGCATGTTCTCCTCTGATAGCAACAACACACACGTCTCTTCCCTGGCTGTGAGTTTCTGGGATTGGCCTTTGCTTCTCCCCAGGTCACCTCCCCAGCCTCTGCCTCTCCCTATCTCAGGCCTTGGGCTCCAAATGTGACTGGGGGCCGGTTCAGGGGCACCAGGCTGGCTGCTTCCCCTGGGACTCCCCTGGCCTCTCCCTCCCACGCTCGAGCCCTGCCACATGGACATCTCACACTGAGCACTGTCTCTATGTGGCTTTATTGCAGGCAACCCTGGCACTGCGGCTCATCATCCAGGAGCCCAAGTGCCAAGATGCAGTTTTCAATTATGTCCCCCATCTTCTTGTGGCTTTGCTCATCCAAATTTCCATGAGCACAGACCAGATGCCAGAAGAGGTCAATGCTTTCTGGAGGGGATGCCAGGAGGAACATGGCCTTCCCGCCAACCCCAACAGGTGCTCCATCCCTGTCCTCTACCCCTCCCATGCCCTTGGGGCTGGGACCAGGGCTTCCAGCATGACCTGGCCTTTGCTCTGCACACAGGTTTGCAGTACAGACCCTGAAGGCTCTGCTCTGCTGCCTGCACTGGGAGAATGAGGTGGTGGCCATTGAACGGAAGCGTGGCTGGGAGACACTTCTTTATTCTGACACCCATTACTATGCAGTGGGGCTGCTGGCCAGGTGAGACCCCTTCTCCCTGCTGCCCCTTTTGTCTCTCTCCTGGGCACGGGGCATCCAACACAGCCCACGTAGGCATGGTCCAGTTTGCCTTGGCATCAAGAGATGTCTGAGCAGATTGGAAAAGGCTGTGAGAGCTGGGTGCACAGGAGGACCCACCTCCCAAAGTGCCCACATCCCATGCTGGGCTGCAGGGGAAAGACCAGGTTGCTGTGAGTCAGTCCTTGGAGGGCTTTGCCTGACTGGCAGAGGTTTGATGGCTTAGTTTTCCCTCCTGACAGGGAGATGCGCCAAGTGTTGGTGCCCTTCCATTCTGAGATGGCAATTCACCTGCTCGGGCTGCTCAACAGGGAGGAGCCCCTCTGGGAGCTCCCTGCCCTTGCGTTCTTTGTAGAGGTGAGCCTGATGGAGAGCGCTGCCTCACCTGCCTGCCTGCCCCCCTCTGCCATCTCACAGCCACAGCTCCCCAGGATGGTGCCTGCGCCCTGTGCTGCTGCCTGGGCACAGCCCTGGGTGGCTCCAGGCTCCTGCTGCCTGGCCAGGCCCTCACTGCTCTCTGCCTTCCAGGTCCTGGACTATCTGGATGGGAGAAAGTGTCGTGAGAGTGTCCTGCCCATCCTCTCAAGGAACCTGCAGAGCCAGTGCCCTGAGCGGCGGCGCCTGGCACTGAGAGGGCTCCTTGTTCTCAGTGTGGATCCCTCGATGGTGAGAAGGGCACACCCGGATGAAGCCACACTGGCAGCCTGGGGCTGGGGAACGCAGTCACTTGGGCTTGGCTGGGTTCGGGAACTGTGGCAGCTGCTCCCAGCTCTCCTGCCTCCCTCTGCCTCTGGGCCCTGGGGCAGCAATGGGGGGTTGCAGCACCAGAGAGGTGTTGGTGGGGCAGCTGTTCAGGCCTTCACAGCACAGCACTGTATTCCTTCCACACAGGCCGAAAGCATCTGCAGCCTGGCTGAAAGCCTCCTGGAGCTGCTGTATCAGGCAGATGGAGAGCTGGTCGAGATGACCCTCTCTGTCTTCCTGAATGTGCTCCGGAATGGAGATCTTCAGGCATTTGGCTGCGCTGCTCCAAAGCTGGCTGAGACACTCCAGCCACTGTTTGACAATGTAAGGCTCTGGTACTGCCAGGGAACTTTGTGCCCTGTGCATTTTCAGGCCTGTGCCTGGTGAGCAAGGAGCAGCCAGTGCTGAGATCTTTTTGTCTTCTTCTGCACCAGGACAACAGCCATGTGCAGCTGCTCTCCATTCGCCTCTTCCAAGAGGTGATGGAGTTGGTAGCGAAAGAGAGAAAGACGGAGGTGTGCCAGGTCATGCTCCCATTCTTCCACTGGGATGATGAGAAGCAGTGTGGGGCAGAGGTGAGCACTTGAGGGCTGTGGTGTCCCCGTGGCAGGGGGCTCAGCTGCCTCTTGTCCAGGTGTCTCCATGGGGTGCATTCCTTCAGGAACAAGCTGATCCACTGTGGGTCCTACCAGGGAAACCTGCTCCTTCGTGGGCTCCTCTCTCCATGTGCAGCACATCCCTGTCAGGACCCTGCTCCAGCATGAGCCTGTCATGGACTCACAGCCTCTTTTGGGCATCCACCCACTGTCACGGGAGCTCCCCCACAGGCTGCAGGTGGATCTCTGCACCCCGGTGCTCCTCCATGGGCTGCAGGGGGACAGCTGCTGCACCAGGGGCTGCAGGGAAAGCTCAGCTTTGGAACCCAGAGTTCCTCCTTCTCCTCTATGATTTCTATATTGTGGCTCACATGTTCTTACTCTATTCTTCCCTGGCTGCAAGTGCCATCTGCACAATAGTTTTCTTTCCCTTCCTAAATATGGTATCACAGAGGCATTACTATCATTCCTAAGTGGCTTGGCCTTGGCCAGCAGCAGCTCCGTCCTGGAGCCGGCCGGCATTGGCTCTGCCATGTGGGGGAAGCTTCGAGCAGCTGCTTCTAAGAGAGGCCACCCCTGTAGAGCCCCCACTACCAAGGCCTGGCCACAGAAACCCAATACAGCTCCCAGTCTGGGCTCATTAGAGGAGAAAGGTGTCTCCAATTAGAATCAAGCAGGCAAGCAGCCTGTGCCCAGGGCTTCTGCTCACCAGGAGTCTTCTGGTCCCTCAAGCTGGGTCTGCTGGGTCCCCTAAGCCTTTGAGGCTGCACAGTGTGGTGGGAAGGGAAGCATTTCCCAAGAAGCTGGGAAGCTGGGCAACCTGCTCACTCTGGCAGCTCTCACACTCTCCCCTACTCCTTCTCCAGGTGCCAGCCATTGTGAGGTACATCCACCAGTGCCTCACCTTCCACCTGTCTCCAGATGTCAGGCAGCACATTGACATCCGCAGGCTCGCTGACAGAAACCCTCATGAGGTCGTGA